TATAAATATAATTGTATATCATGTTATGTTATGTTATGTTTGATCACTATGGAGATTTACAGCTATGTCCCCTTTTCGCCTCTCTGAGCTCAGCGTTGTATAAAACTACAAATCCCAGAGCCCTTAGCGTCACCGCGGCAGTTCCGCGTTGGTTCGGAGACAGGAGTGTGTTATCTTTGTATACAGTCTGTGGTTATTTCCACTGAGCATTAGTGAACACAAGGTCCAGAATGACGGACATTAGGCCGTGTAAGGTGTGTAACTTCTCACGACAGAAATCCTACGGGCTGGTGGTTCCCTCCCTGGAGGAGCTGAAGACAAGAGGTGAGCTGTGAATGAGTTCAACTTGTAAACGTGTCTGAATGACAGTGGAGATGTTTAACCCAAACTTTACATGATGCTAAAAGACACAGAAACACGTGACGTTAAAGTGAAACTCAGCCTCGGGTAGATGTGTAAATGCTGCTGTGATCTCACTTGTCTGTGATTCTGTCTGTCTCTGATGTGAAACTGTTAACACAACAGTTTTAATGTAGATGCTGGTCACTGACAGGTTAAATTCTGCTGGTATTCTGCTGCACACGTGAATCTCACTAATCTGTCAGTGGTCGTGTTGAAACCTGCAGGAGAATAACATGAATTGTCAGAGAGCTTCCTCTGTGTGCTGCTCATTCCTTCAGTGCTCGTCAGCAGGCGTTGCCCACATCACTGCTCTCCTCAAGCTTTCTGCCCAGTAGAGCTGGAATACATGTAGTAATAATAATGACACCAATACACTTGATATATAGAATCTTTCAAAACACAGTTACAGGGGTGCTTTATACAGTACAAATGTATAGCTAACTACAAGTTTGTGTCATTGTTTTCTATAGATGTATAGATATAGTATTTTTTATTGATAATGTCTTGGTACTCAGTAACAATACAATACCTGGAAGCATGTACTTTAAAAAATGATTCAATGGTGTTGTTGCAGGTGTTGGCCTACATTGAAATATGCACCTTCCCATTTAAGCAGTTAAAATTATATCAGTCCCCTAAATGTGCCTGTGATATTTTTCATCAAGATCAATGAATCATTCCCCAGGAAAATGGCTGTATTGTTGAAAAACTGGATTTGCCCCCTGATTTTTTGAACAAACAAGAATGAAAACATAATCTCCTTGGTGGAGTTAATCAAAGACACCAAAAAACAAATTTATGAGAAGCAAACCCACCAGACACATCAAATAATCATCAATTATATCTTAATCATTAGTATAAGGAATACTTGATTTAAAAATTCAAGCCTCGGGTTAAGAAAGCAGAGGGACTGAAGCATGCAAGGAGGAGCAGCTGTGACGAAAGAGGAGGTGACAGCTTTAATGGACGGACTTGTTTGACATAGCAAAGTCATCGGTATTTGCTTGAACCAGCTGATCGGCTGGTATGTGAGTTGGCTGTCTGAAATATACAAGCTTGAGACTGGTTGTCCTACTTATTTTTGCTCTGAAACATGGCAACATGACCAAAGATGTCAATGTGTCAAAGATAATAAAGGATATGCACACATGAGATCTGTAACTTTCTCATCTCTGTTTCCTCCTCCAGGGTCTCAGTTCTTCGGGCATCCCAGTGACCAGGTCACAGTGGTCCTAGAGGATGATGGGACAATAGTAGAGGATCAGTCCTACTTCTTGTGTTTACCCCCAAACACAAAGTTCATGCTGTTGCATGAAAAAGAATCATGGTCTCCAGTTCGCAAGAGTAAGCAGGTTTGCTTCTGTCAGAAATCTGGCTACAGTCTGGAGGGATTCTTAACATTTTAACAGTGAAATGTTCAGCCTTGTGCGTTTAGGTGTTCAGTGTACCTCTCATTGTAGTGGATGGTGGCACGGCCTGGATGGCCAGGGAGTCTATGATTCTGGAGAATGATGCTGTGGATGCCCTCGGCCCTGTAGCCCCCTGGTGGGACCTGGCTCAGCAGCTGAAGCAGGACCTGGCCAGCGTCATCCTCATGTCTGAGGCCGACTTACAGGTACCAACATTATTCTTCTGTTTGAGACAGACAAATTGACAATATGCCAACATAAGACGCACGTCTGTCTACAAACCAATCTATAATAATACATTTTTTGTATGGCACTTCTCAAGAAACTCAAAGACACTTAATAAGCCTAGTTTATGCTTCTGCGTCACGTCGAGTATAGGTAGATGCAGCCCACATTAGTGATGTAAACAGGTCGTATACATATGTCACACAGAAGTCTTTAGTTCACTCCCTAAATTACAATGTGAAACCAAATCTAACCAGATCAAATACAAACAATGTTACAAAGACATGAACCTTGGTTCAGACCCTATCTAGACTTTCAGGGTTGAAAACACTCTTAATATTCTTCCTGTTAGAGGATAAGTTTGGGAATATTCTATAATTTTGCTTTAGTCAACAACAGAAAAAAACAGCTGTCCAGTATAAGTATTTTTTTTTGTGCCTCCTGTTGTTCCAGACTTTAGTAGATGCCCCATGTCCTGAGCTAGCCTCTGCTCTGGGCTTCCAAGAGAAGAAGGCTGTGGACCTACAGGAGACACTACAGAGGGTTTTGGACAGAAGAGAGGAGGAGAGACAGTCCAAGGAGTTGCTCCAGCTCTACCTCAAAGCTGTGGAGAAAGAGAACAAGCAGCAGGAAGAGCCGAGTCAGCCCAGCCAGGGAGGTATGGCTTTGTCATTATGTGGTTTTTTAAAATGTTTTGTCCCAAATAAAGATCTGGGACATTTCATTCTTGCCTACACACTAAAGAGGCTTCATTGTTTACACTGTTGTTTTTGACACAATGCAAACTGTGATAAGTTAGAAAGTTATTTTAGTGAGTGTATTTCAGTCAGATCAAAGCAGCAGTAATTTAAAGAGATATCATCAGCTTCCAATTATTGGCTCTGCAAACCTATCACAGCACCTTCTGAGAAGTCAATAGTCTGTTAAATAGAAAGTCTCCCTATCCATCAGCCTGTTGATTACATAAAAATGTTATGTAATCTCGTCTCTGGGGTTTGAGCCTGCTTTCATGTCCTGTTTCTGTGATATTCTCTTTTCTTTTATCTGTGTATCTAATTCAATTAGTTTATGACAATGATTTCAAAGGCATTTCATATATGTTTGCTGTAAAATAAACACGTCTATAAGTCTTAATATGCCAGAGGTGCTCATATATCTTCCCTCATTATAATCAATAAGCATGAATACAACATCCAACAAAGTAATCAATACAATGCTATGATTGTATCGCTCCCACAGGAAGGTAATGACCCATAAAGTGCTCATTCTTTTGATAAAGGATCTTGACAAACCCTTAAACAGCATGTTAGACTGCTGCAGTAAGAAATGAGGAATGAGGAATCTTGAGATGTGAAAATAACTCTTTATAAACACGTATACATGTATTTAATTTAATAACTATTATTATTACTATTTAATACAATTTGTATTCAATTGGCCAATATTTAAATAGATACATGTTCATACACATATATGTTTTTTTTATGTGCTAAGTGGCAGAACATATTGTCACAAGAAACAGAATCAAACAGGAAGACTTCTTCTTGAAACAATTCGTTATTTTGATTTTAAAAATAACATGTGGTGGAATCACAATGGTGGAAAAATGCGGATAATAAAAATCTATCTAGGTTGATGTTAGCTAGTTAAATCTACCTCTCTTGCTCCCTTCTCTTTGTTTTTCTCTTCTTTCTCTTGTCTTGCCACCAGTCTCATCCATCTGTTGTTTACTATTTGAAGCTCTCTACGGAGTCGTGCATTGCATCTTCATGAAATGCAGCAACAGCAATAATTTTGCAGCTGCAAAAAATGGAAACACTATCAACACTTACTGATAAATCACTAATCAGTCTATTTCCTCTGCTGGCTTACAGTATTTATCATTACATATAAGGGAAAAGGTGTGCTTGTGCATTTTGGGCACTAGGTGGAACCCTTGTCTCTGCTTGTTATTCCCAATCGTAACTATAAAGTCTTTATGCAACAAATGATCCTGAGAGAAAACTTGTTTGATATGTCAGGGGCTGCAGACGTGGATATGCCAGACGGCATGGAAGTGGACTCTGCATCTGGATTCATGTCCAGGACTCTGATGGTCTTGAAAGGCAAAACAAGCCCAGAGACCAGGCTCTCCACTGAAGACCTTCAGGTAGTCCAATCGTCCAGTATGCTCAACATCTCTGCAGATACAAATCACCCAAATTAGATTTTTATGAATGTACTGTGTATAACAGCAAATGCAGATCCAGTGTTTCCTTAAAAGATGAAGGATTTACAGTGGATTTAATCAGACCTGAGAATCCAACATGTACATCCAACAACAACTTCCTGTATCATTCCTTCATGGCCTATGCTGCAACATACCTATTCGAGTAGCAGCTGTAGAAATGATTATGCAGTTCTGTAAAACTGACACAACGCATCCACATGTCAATATAGTGACATAATTATTTTATGTAATCCAAAGGGTATTTAATTTAGCTGAACCTGAGATCAGACCAGAGCCGGACAGACATTCTATTATATGTCTCCTGTAACCTGACCAGAGCCCGATGTATCCCCAATTACAGTTATGTGTAGTGAAAAAAAAATCAAGGAGATAGCTCTGCCAATGTGATCGGATCCAGACCAACCCTGAATAACTACAAAACTTTTATCTGAGCCGCTGTGTCCTCAAAAGGCTTGAGTCGGGTATCCACACTCAATACACACAACAAGGAGTGGAAACTACAGTCAGTATACCAACACAACTCCCTTAACCTCATATCAAAATCTATCTGACACATTGTCAACAGACACTGAACATTATATTCTCCACAAAGATTAGGATTTGGATGGTATTCATTACAAGGTTCTCTGATTGGATTGCATTTGTTTCTACATGTGTATCCAGAAACCATAAGTTAGTATAAAATCTCACATGTCCACGTTCCCAGTGGAAATGAAGGCTCTTCGATGTGTCCCTAGATGGTCGTGAGCAGAGGGGTTGAAGCTATGCGGCAGGTGCTGGGCTGGGACACATCCAGGACGTCAGACTTGCTGAAGGCCTGCGAGGCCGAGCTGGCAAAACGTCTTCAGCAGGTCCAGGCCGTGCAGTCCGTCAGGAGCAGCACACAACTGGACAGCAGCCGGCAGGATGGGGAGAAGAGCGCGGAGGGTGAATAAACGGCAGCCAGAGGCAGTGACTAGGCCGAGACTTCACTGAGCAGAGACTGATAAGAATTCACACTACCTGCCTCAGGGTCAGTCGAATGGGATTTGTCCTGTGTTAGTGATAATATCCGTAATGCTGGAATCTATGAATGCTAATAATGTTGATGTTTGAATCATTTTGTAAAACTTGCAAACCAGTTGAGCGCTTTTGCCTCAAGAGTTTTTAACCACTGGAAGCAGCTTTCTATTGGCTCCTTATTTTGTGCCAGGTTGTGAAAATTAACATATCTATGTAAAAACAAAACAAAAATTCAATATGAAGCTGAGAGCAGGGGGCAGTTTAAAAGTTAGCCTGGTTCTGTTCATGTAAGGTCACAATTAACCTGCCAGCACGTATTCAGATCACTAATTCACATTCTCACACTTCTGTTGGGCTCCATGTCTGAGCATGTAAGTGATTTTTCATTGGGGACTGGACCATTCTCCCAAATCCCAAATCAAACTATCAGACAAATTTTGAAGCTGCTATTTTAAGGTAATAAAAGTTGCATGGTGTCGCCACTAAGTTTTTATAAAAACTGTTATTGTTGAATCAGTTTCCCAGTATTACTGTTTACATTGTGCTCCTCCTTATAATTGCCAATTAAGAAAGAAGTTATGCACTGCATTTTTAAACTTTAAGTTGAATATACGTAAGAAATATACGTTCAGCTATCCAAAGGCACCCTGATGATCTCCAGTTCATAGTGAGCAACACAACAGACTATATTGTGTGTGTTGAAAATAATTTCAAAGCACCAGCACAGAATTAACATATTGACTTCAGGGGATCTTTGGTGATGTTGAAAGTAGCATTGTGCTCTTATTTCAATCATCTGGTAACCAGGCTGATCCTGTACCTCATAACACTCCCTTCCCAGTGGCCCTTGCAAAAAGAGACATGTTATGACCCCACTAAAGTTCTGTTTTAAAAGTTGTACTTTTATTACAATCACTTACAAATTCTACAAGTAGATTCTCAATGTCAAGCAATTGATATGAAAAATACTAATGTGGTTATTGAACGTGCTTGAATTTGGTATTTTCATTTTCATTTTTCACCACAGTCTTCATGCATGGGCTACTTTGTAGAGTCTGACAGATATGGATTTTTGGAGGCTAATGCCAATACTGATATTAGGGAGTGAAAGATTTCCCATACCAAAATAATGGCTGATGTAAATTGCCCCAAAAACTTGGCAGGGATTCCTAAGATGTTGTAATGAAACCTTTATGACAGATATATAGGCTTGATATTTTATAGTTTAAACAAACTGTTTTATGAATATCTATGAATAAAAAGAAAACGAATACAAAAAAATATATGACTTGAATTAAGGAAATCAAAATTTTTTTCTGGAAGATGTAAAAATAAATAACATTTCTGCATTGTATATTCTGTAAGATAAAAGTCTGTGTATATCCGCAAACAAACGCGGATACCAATAAGTCAGTGAAAGGCTCATATCGGATCATTTTCATTGGCTAGCCAAGAAAACCAGATGAACATACACAAAACCCAATGCCAAAGTAACTTGCACAGCACTACGTTAGAATGATCCTTATGACACGTGCAAATCTTTGAATCAGGTAGAGATTATTGTTAAAAAACTAACTCTGCATCAGTAAATACAAATACATCTATTTGAATGGATCACACAGGCTAATTTATCATTCCACCAGTGAAGTATGAGACAAGATGTGGTGCATGTCACATACATGCAAGCCTCACTGAGCACATTATGGCTGACATTTTGAATGACAAGACTTCATCTTAGAATTATGGATAACCTGTATTTCTGGATGAGCACTCTTTAAGACTATCAATTATATACTATTGTGGAAGTTCTGTATCAGTCCAGTCACTACGTGATATGCATTAGTGTATACGGCGTGTGCAGGTCCGCTTGACTCATAGGTCATGGAGAAGATAGCCTTCGTCATGCCTGTCATCTCATCATCTGTCTCTTGAACAAAGAACACAAATGATGGTGGGCTTGAATTTGCGGGACGATTATCTTTTTTGTGTTGTGGCGAGATTGAGTTGTCACCACCAGCTTGTATTTCAGAAAGATCTCCTATATGTGCATTCATGTATCAAAAGATGTCCCACTCTGCTGTTTTATACTTAAAGCTTCTAATAACTTCCCCATGTTAGTTCTCCAACATATTCACATTTAGTATTTAATTGAAACACATGCGGCAGTTGTTAGAATGGGAACTTGTATATGATTGTACAGTATAAGGTACATTTGATGCACATGTTAAATGGTTGTTCAATGATTTTCTGAAATAAACTCCCTCTCAAACCTTTGACAGTGCTGTTGTCCTCTTGGTTTTTTCAAACTTAATCACTGTGTTTCTTTGAAGTGTATACATTCACAGTCTCGAAGTGCAGGTAGTATTGTGCACTGAGGATTTACTCAAAAGCTGAGCATTGAGCTGTGATGCACAACATTGATTTTGGCCACAAAGCTAGAAGCTCTGGTTAAATACCCCGAATGCTCAATAGTAAAGGATCAGAAACATTAACAACTAAAAGGGCACCCATAGTGTTACCCACTGATTCAGGGCAGGCTTTCACCAGAGAGATGAGGATGCATGACTGCTTTGTAGAACAACCAATAGGGACGCCCACTTTGTGAACTGCTCTGTGATTGGTCAAAGTCTTCCATCATGGGCCAGATTAACAGAGCCTCAAGGAAGTGCAGAAGTCGAAAGTTGATTTACATTCTTCTGAAAGGTTATTATATAATTAATGCTCATTAATGACAAAAATGTTACCCACAGCAGTGTTAAAGCCCCTACAAGGAGTTTTTAACTGGTTCTGAAAAGGTCTTATTTTAATATTGCTGCCTCTTTATGACCCACAACAGCAAATGAGACAGGGAGAAAATTTACAGGATTTACAGCAGTCAGCCTGGACAAGCCTATGTTGAGGTGGAGGGATAAGATAAGATGTACCTTTATTTATCCTCTGTAGAGGAAATTCACAATTGACACAGTAGCACAAGAAAGTAGCAGCACAAGGGGAAAATACAGTAAAACTAATGATGTGAATAAAAATTTAAATATTATATGTAGAGATAATGGTAATCTGCAATGTTTGTCTGGACATATTCTAAAACTAGTGAAGATACATTAACTGCTGATTCTTGTCTGAATCCGCATTATCTCAGCTACCTTGGTGATATGTTACAGGTTTCTAGCTTTACTACGAACAGCAGTTGGAAAAAAGCCTATCCCCCTCACATTTAAATCCACTACATCTTTTATTTCTTTCTGCACCAAATTGCACACACGTGCCAGATTTCATCAAGATTCATGAATTCTTCCCAGAAAAAACTGGAAAAGTGTCTTGAAAGAATTCCTGGATCTCTACCTTGGTTCGGATCCACATCAAAATTTGGGTTCTTTTATTACTCATGTCCCATCCTTCTACAAAATTTTGTGGAAATGGGTGAAGTAGTTTTTGTGTAATCTTGCTGACAAACAAATACCAAGCAACAAACCAGCAGAGAGGAGCTAAAACACAACCTCAATGTTAGAGGCGATAAAAAAACATACCTGACATAGTAAACCTCCTTTATACGTCTTTCTTCACATACAGTTAGTTCATGCATGAGAGTTGGGTTGTCTACAAATATGATGTTTTTACCAGCCACAACCCTGTTGGCTGCATGCTGCTGCTACATATTTTCCAACAGATGGCTAATGGGTTTCATGGTGTGCGTAATTCCTGTGGAATTGACTCCAACTAGGCTGAACTGTGAGTGTGTGTGGTACCAGGTCAGTCGATTGTGCTGTCATGTGTCACACTGTCTTGGTGGAGATGATTGTAAGTTAACAGAGACCAGGTATCAGCTGCGGGTTTGCTATGTAAGCACCCAGTTGCCCCGAGGACTGTCTGGGCATTTCGTGCTGGAAATGAACTTTATGCCAATGTTGTCAGAAGACTCTCGGAGAACGCGTCCACCGAGGACCTTGCGATTCTGTTGGGTTGCAAATGCCAAGGTGATGTATATTATGGGTCAGTACCCTGCCTCACTCCGTGTGTAGCAGCATAAGAGCTCATTCAATGTTAATATAGAGAAGGTTTTCTTTTAAAAAGACTAGAAATCACAGGAATGTTGAAGGGAAAAATCTGATACTAGAAGAACGGGAACAGTGAATATAAATCAACACAAGTGTGATTCTTCCTCACATCAAGCATGCTCCTTTGCACCATTTGTGAGCCACGGATGGAGGAAATGTTAGTCAGTCAATGCGAAAGTGTGCAATGAGAGGCAATCTCATGGGAGTAAAGAACCCTGTAATGAATGTTTTGATAGAGAAGCAGAGCTGGGGTTGCTGAGAACAAGCTGCATAATGTGTGGAAGGTTAAATGACCAGCATTCACCGCTTCTCAGACGAGACTCGCAGAGTTCCAGAATATTTTAAAAGGATTTAATTTATTGTTTTAGACAGGGTGTTAAAAAATGCCCTGTCTCAAGGGAGAATACAGCATTAGAATTGTTTACACTCAGCTACGGTATTTTGTGGAATAGTTTTTTTAATCCTAATTGTTGTTTGGTCACATAGAGCCACAGGTTTTATACAATAATGCCAAGATATGTCTCTCAATAAAAGTCAGCTAAAACAAGTTTCTTCTTAGCCTTACTTGTTAATTTGCAGTAAAAAAAAAATAAGCAAAAAAAAAAAACCTTATAAAAAGGGGTTAAAAATGATTGTTGATGTCATCAAAGACAGAGAACAATAAAATTGGATATAATCAAGATACATACAATGAAAGATCTTGAAATTTGGCAGGTGTTTTGAGTGCCAAGTTCACAATGTCATATAGCTTTAAAGGAGATATATTATTCTATATTCAGTTTTTCTCTCTCCTCTAGTGTGTTATATATTTTATCTTGTGTATGTAGCCAATTTGCAAAGGATTGTGCTGGTACAAAAAAGTATGTAAACCTTTTTAAATAAGAAAAAATTAAAATTATCAACTGAAATATAAGCAAATATATCTCCTTTAAGATAATATGTCTGCGAGCCTTAACACAATATCCAAATTTCATCACAAAAATTATGGTTGTGTGAAGTTGCTCCATCGTAAAAGTCACCATAAAATTTTCAGGTTGTATATAATGAGATGCACAATGTTCGTGGCAACAATCCTTCAGTTAATGTGAGGCATTCAGCCTACTTGTGTACTTGATCTTCCACCCCTTGTTTTTGCCACCAGTATCGGATCTGAAACTAACATGCACTTGATAGCTTCCTGTGTCAATGCGGGCTGGTGCGATGGATCCGCAGAAGGGTCCGTACTCCTGTCCAGCTGTCGAAATCTCAAAAAGAGGAATGACAAATAAGAAACGGGCATGTTGTCATTAAATGTTTGCCTGACTGATGTCCAGCCAAACTTAAATATGCAGCCAAACGAATGGCCACACAGTATATCACCCGAGGAGGACAAGTCAATGACAGACTGCCTCCGCAAGCATGAGTAAGAATACATTGCTAATCATCACCTTGTGTGTGTATGTGTGGGTGGGTGGGTGTGTTTGTTAGGTCCTAAAGTCACATGACTAACCTTCAACATATCATATGGACAGGGGACATCTGGGTGTCCCTCTACGTCAAAGGGTTCCAAGAAATCCAGGATTATCCTGTGGCCCTCTGGCAGACGGATGGTGTGGTCACATTGAATCATGGGAGGGTAAGGTTTCGGGTAGCCGGGACTGGTCAGGACCCCCGAAGGTGAGGTCAGCACTTGGCTGTGGCATGGCACTTTGAAGAGGAATCTCATTAAAATCCTTTTTAAACGTTGTAACTTCATGGCATCTTTAACACATTTTGCTCAGTTTTCAGTGTTCACATTTCTCCTGCGTGTTACTTTGTTAAACTGATGAATGGGTTCTACCTGCAAGTGCCTCATGACTGTGAAAAGCTTTTCTTGATTTGATGAAAATAATTTTTTCATGAGAATTGAGATATTTCCTGGCACCATTAATTCATTTAGGTTTGCATTATTGCCCTGGCAAGTGTGTGCAGATGCTGTTACGCTGTTACAGACAAAAACAAATGAGCATTGCAAAGAGGCTGAGTTGCTGTAATTCATATAATTAGTACAAACTGTAGGCAGGTAATCATTTTTTTGCCCATTCATTGCATGATTTGTTTTGTCACCCTTGTTCCTCCGGCAAAGAATAATAATTTAAAGCACATCAGTTGGTAATTGTGATAAATTACCTGGTGTCAGTACACTATTAGTGGCGCACACAGGTATCAATTTTTAACACCATTTTGAAGTTGCTTTTCCCTCAGGAATCGACAGTAATTAACCTTGCTTTGCACGAGCCAGCAGAGATCAACTACTTCATGCATCAGTTTGCCTTTTCATTCCGAAATTAGTCAGCACAGGACAGCTAGCACCGAATAAAATCCACTGCAGGACTCTCTGAACTGAGTGCCCTGTGCGAAATGTCAGAAAATACTTTAAGAGAATTTCTTAAGACAAATGACACAGTTCACCATGCAGCAATGTGATGCCATTTTCATCCATGCTTCCTGCAAAGTGTGAAACTAGCAGCTACTTAAAAGCACATTAACAAATGTGCTAGCAGTGTCATTAACATAGTTATGACGTCAACAAATATTTTTGAAATGAAAAATGTTATAGCCGAATGCCTCAAACAGGTCAATGCACACTAATGGACATCGACATCTGCTGTGGGGTCGTGAGGAGCCACATTTACAGAGATCAATATACAGTGAAACAGTGTGTGTCAAGCTATTAACACTTTAGCTCACGACACAGCCTTTGACTTTGCTCAGGTCTGCATGGCTCTTACCTGTGCAGGTTCTGTTGTTGTCGTGTAGAAGGTATCCTTCTCTGCACGTGCAGTAAAATCCACCAATGTAATTGTGGCACAAATGGTCACACGCTTTCTCTCCATCAATCTTGGACAGACATTCATCGATATCTGTGAAGTAGAGAGGTTAAAGAGATACACAATAAATATGTACTTATTTTCATTCATAAACATACTTTACACATGGAAAAGGTTCATTATCTGTCTTCTATCCTGAATGTACCAAAACTCATCATTTGAGGTTTGCAACCTTCCGGGGAGTGTAGGTCACCACTCAACAGCATCTCTCATGAAAATGTGTCATAAATTGTCTGACACTAACCAACGACCAGATGTTGACAGAACACTTTAATAAAGGTGCTGCAGCTGCTCCAGAGGTGTGACCGTTACATTCAATTAAAACAGGAGTTTGAATTGGAAAAGTATTACTTTCACTTTTCACTTACAGAATACTACAAGCAATGGAAGATAAAAAATAGACTTTGTAATGAAAGCTGAGGTGAGTAACACGTTTTTTTTTTTATATAAGGATGCAATCCCAATGAAAAATACGAAAAGGGAGAAGTAGTTGCCAAACTATGTTTAAAGTATTTGCACTATTACAATCGGATAGTAAAATGTAAATCAAAAGTTGTGTGCTATTGTTGTGTCATTATTTTATTGTATATGCTGCTATAGTCTCTCTGACTAAAATGAATTAGTATTTTAAAACTTTATCAGAAAAAAATACATAGTCAGTATACTATCTAATCCTGGTATTATTTATCTGTAAACTCTTTTACTCTTGGTATAATTACAGCCAACAAAATCATATCTGCCCTCTGGCATCTGATGTCACTATTCTGCATCACCTTCTGCTGTGTAAAACGCTTGGAAGCCGGTGAATCGGCCCTCGTTAGAGTAGTCGCTCCTAAAGACCACTGACATGAGGTTTCCGGCTGACAGGATGACGGTGTTCCTCGGAGCGCTTTCGTAGTTCTTCTCCTCCTCACCACAGAATCGCAAGGTTTCATTTACCTCCGCCAAAACCTGGTGTGACAGGGTCAGAGGCCTTTAAATACAGACTTTAAATACAGACTCCTGTGCAGATAAGAGTGGGTTTCTCCAGCATGTACCTGGATGTAGTCGTATTCACACCGGTGGGAGGGTTCCATGCTGAAGTGGGTGAAGTAGACTCTGACCCTGTGACCATATGGGACGCTGATGTTCCACAGTACGTATTGGTTGTCAGGGTATGGCTGGGGGAAGTTGGGGGAGGTGAAGCTGCCATACAGCCCCGTCATTTCCACACTCAGTGACACATGAAGGAGGGAGAACAAGACAAATACACAACGCCCACTGGGCAAAATTAGGTGTGTTGGCAGTGGATCCAAATATTATTTCACACAAAGAAATGCTCAGTGACACTCACCTGGTCATGTTGGCTTTACAGTCCCCAGATATTTTAGAACAAGTTCACTGGCTCAGGTCCGAGGGTAAATGAACCCAGCTGTCCTGGCTGGCTGACATTTAGGTAAACAAAGTGAGACAGGCACATGATCAGTTTGTCATCATTCTCCACCTCCCTCAGTCACACAGAAATCTATCAGACGGATGAAATGTCAGAATAATTCATATTCATTCTTCCTCTTAAACTCTTTTGTCACCTCATAATACCTCCTCCTCAAAACTTCCTGCACTCATCAGAAGACTGATGCGCATGACGTGGGTTATCAAAATCATCAAACTAAGAAAAAGTAACATTTTTAACAATTTTCTATGTTTTTGTCATTGGTGTGTGGCTCAGGAGGTAGAGCGTGTTATCCTCTTACCAGAAGGCCGGTGGTTTGATCTCGGCCCCTCCACACTGTATGACGATATATCCTTGGGCAAGAAACTGAACTCTTAAGTCCCCCTGATGTGGTGGCAATGATGAAGTGTGATAAAATAAAGTAATGGATTAAGGTGTGTTGTACGAATGTGTGTGATTGGGTGAGTGTTACTTAAACTGTAAAGCAATTTCAGTGAAGCCTTGAAAGTGCTACATACATACTTGAATTATCATAATCTTACAATGAAAAAAAACACAAAACTCAAAGATCACCAGTGTTTGTATCACACTTCACTGCTCCATGAAACCTGTTCAGACAGTGATGCTGATCAGACCGGGCATTAATTACTTCAGACCCTGCTCTCATGATTGCTGAGCAGCGAGGCTGTTAAATAAAAGCCTCACAACATAAATATACTATAACCACAACATTTACCAGCCCGGTCCTTTTATTTGCACCTAATTACAGCATTGGGGATGAAAACAGTCCAGGGCACATCAGCAACAATTTCCCAGTGAATGAAACCAAATTGCCTCATATTTTACATTTTCTATTAATTTATTTTCATATTTGCTTCTACACTGTGCCAAATGCTTTTAGGTCAGACATTATTTTAAAGGCTTATATAACAAATTGAGACTGTGTTGATGGAATATTCATGCTATTCAGAAGTGACGGGGGCCTTTCAACCAGCAACTGTTGTCTGATAAATAAGCATATAATAGCAAACCCCCATTTTCCCTCATGCAAAAGCGCTAATGGCTAGTACTGAAGTGAATTACAATAATTATCAACATAAACAGCAACAGTGATTTCCCTTTGCTAATGACCTCTCTGATGGTACTCTTTTTAAATGGTGCCACAACCTTTCCACCTGAGAGCCTGGAGTCTGACAGCAGATGTCCTCCTCTCAGATATCGTGCTGCTCCAGTGTGATGCACCCACAGAAACGACTCCTTCTGACACTAAACAAGAAACCTAACTTAATCAAGAAAAAAACAAACATCAAGACTCTGGGTCTTCATCTTTGTATTGATCGCTATTATATACTTGAATTTCATTTTATGAAGCCCCAGTCAGATGTTCTGGCAACTCCCCTCGTCCCAATACACATGTAACAATTCAAAGAACCACTGGCAAAGTACAAAACTATCAAAATGAAAAAGGAGGTAAAAAAAACAAACAAGGTAACCCAGGTCTTTAAGTAACCAATAGCAATTCGAGCTCCACAGTTACTTCAAAGCCACAATGATGTTAATATACTTTCACCTGAACTATAGAAGACATGCACACACAAACATTTTAAGCACAAAAAACAAAACAAAAAATGTCTTATTGCTTATGATAATAAAGGTGTTTTACACATGAACTAAAATTCTTGCACCTTTAACTATCAAACACCAAATAAATTGATATTGTTTAATGTACTTTTGTATAATGTTATTTTAACTTATACAACAGCTCCACAGCAAGAACAATAGTATTAATGACACAAACAAACACCAATATCTTTGTTTAGAGTCAGTTAATAATTTAATTCCAATCTGCGACTGATTTGATACAGTAGATTTTATTTATTATGAACAATATACTTGTATTTCTAAAGTATAGCATTTTTTTGTGAAGTAAAACGTTATAATTTTAAAGGAATGACTGATGGTGAATGAGCCATATGCTTTATTTTGTGATCACAAGGTTTGTTTTAAGGTCTGCTTCTGCTCTAAATGTCAATGCGGTGACTGTTACTGTAGTTCCATATCATCTACACTAATCAGAAGTTCCAAGATTGTCAATTCCTCTGAATCTACTGCTTAATTGTTTTATTAACAGTACAACAGTTAAATGTCGGCTCTCTAGCGTGTTCTGAAATCAGAAAACCAACAGCATCCCCCTGAAACGCCTGGAGCTATTGGCACGGCACCTTTTTTATCTTTTCCGATGTATGCTCTTTGCAGCTGCGCGGCTTTATAACCTTTTCGCAACCCAAGGTCATATCTTTCACACCTGTAAGTCATACCCTCAGGTGTAAAAAAACACCCTTTCACCTTACCGTGTCCGCCTGTGGACTGGAGGCAGGGTTACATAATACACAATTATCACATTAAAGATTAGATTTGATTCCTGAATGCTCTGCAAATGTGAAAAGTTTGAGGTGCCAAGGAAACAAACAATAACATGATATCAAGAATAAAATACAATAAATCAAACATGAGTAAACATTGATAATATGTGTGTGAGGTGAAGAAACCCAGAGCAGCTTTATAGACGGAGAATAACTGCTACTGCCGACATCATTATAGCAGCTGTGGTGATTTGTCGATATATGAGTACATTTTGTATTTGCAGCAATACAAAAGGCTCACTTTATTTAGATAAAACTCGACTTGAATGAACACAATGCCTCAAACAACATTACGAGTCCACAGGCTCAGTCACTGATTCCCTCCTACCTGGTGACATCATTAAGTCAGAGATAAACACTCTGGTTTCCAGTAATAAAGGAGACGTCACAGTTTGTATGTGCATCATCAGATTAATGTGAGATGGAGGGAAGGATTTTGAGGCCCACCGAGGATGTTTTGCAAAGGTAAAATGCATCAAAAGAGCCCAAACTACAATTTGTTTCCCAGTTTTAACTCAATCAGATAAAATAATTGCAGTAACCCGGGAGCTAAATATGAAAAGCTTTATGTAGATGCATCCTGTGTTACATTCATTACTTCAGGATACATTTCAATATATTTGTATTGTTGTACACTTGCGTCACAAGCGAAGTGCATTTTGTGTGTTTGTGAATTTACTGCAAAGAGTGCTCACACACACACAAACACTTTGTGCCTGCACTCAAAATATACAGGCACAGGATGTTTTGATTTCAGCATGATCAAATCTTGAATGTCTTCATGTCTGCAAGTCAGATGCTGCCCTCACACCATTGTTTCACCTGCTTGCTGAACCATGCTGTAATGAAGTGCTTCCTCATATGAAGTCAGGCGGTCATTAAATACAGAATAGGCCGCTGAGATATCTGGAGGGTCATGTAAAAAGCATGATGAAGATTCAAGGAGAGAGAGTTTCAAATCAATGGTACATCAGATGAAAGGTGAAAGGTTCTAAACCCGTCGGTTTGAAATGGGTTGTTCTCTTGGCCCGTGTTAATGCTCAGGAGCTACTTCAGAATTATTCCTTGTCATTAGTGAGTTCTCCTTAAACAGTTCTACAATGTTCTCTCACATTTTATTCTTTGTCTGCTGGATGTTGTTCGCAGAGGTTTTTATAAACAGTCTATGGTGCAGAGTGAAGTAAGAAAACTTGTTCATCCTACCTGGTTTATTGGAAATGGAGATTTTATGGCTGATATTTTTTATGAAATGCAACTTAATTTGCTTTATTATTGTTTACATGTGTGGTTTATATAATTTCAATGATTTATCAACTGCTGTTATACTTCTTATACCGTACATCTGCTATTTCAGAGGTCTGTCTTCAAATTCACAACTGCTCAAAATAAAAGCCCTGCAATTCGGCTTAATATTAAGTAAATATTAGTCACAAAAGACACATGCTTTTTCTTTGAGGAAAAATTGGTAAAGAGGAAGTGATTCTATGAATGTTGATAATATGACAGAGATCAGCACCTGGGAATGTCTATCTCAGCATAATATGGTTAAAAATGATCAAATCATCAAAATGATCTGGCAGCAACTTTGGCCCAGTTTTCCACTGCTGCTGTAGTTTATCCAAGGACGTAGAACAAGACATGTTCAACGCGGTCCACAGACTGAGGGCACACTGCAGGGACACATAATGGGGGGACTGACTGTTACAGACCACTAGTGTCCTGTTTATTCTGATTTTATTAATATTGAACGTATCACATGTCCAAAATGCACCAAATTCGACACTGCTCTTTTTTGGGCCATTAAGAATACACATACAGATTTTTCATGTGGCGACCACAAGCTGCAGATAAAACCTCCCTGATTCAGTCACTCCCTGAACATCTTGTACTAGAAATAAATGATCCTGCCTAGACACAGCGGTAGTGCCAGTTTACCTTGTGAGAGTATTTTCTCTTACTATGACAGCCTTCTGCCGTCTTCATCCTTACTCTCCTCTTCTCTCTCCTTTCCACTGGCTGCAGTCTCATCCACCCACATGCTGTAAACTATAATTAGGGACTTGAATAAGTGGGGATGTGTCGCTCTGGCTGAACACAGAGGAACAATGTGGAGTTAATCCACTGTAATTTGCTCGTCCACTGCAGTTACACAAAAAAAAGAACTATTGAATTTAGGCGTCAGTGGCTCGCGAGCTGCTGCAGAGAATGGACGGTATAAAAGCAGCATAGGTGAAATGCTTCTTTCACATGTCAGATAATCATTCACTCATTTGTCAGTGTCTGATTGCAAGTGCGTTAGATCACCTACGTTCAATGTATAAATGTTAAATTCTGCTGGGGGGAACGTCCACATGTATTTCACAGAATTAAGAGAAGAGCTTTCATGTGTCATGACAGTTCCAGGGTCTCACTCACTTTTTCAAAAACCCTCAGCAGCTGCTTTGACTTGAGCCTCGGGGCCAGATGTTCACGAGTAAACAAAACAGAATTAAACGAATGCCATCAATATATATTAACAGAGTTCTTTGTTGTGAGGAGAGTGGCAGGTTTGGCTAAATATTTCCATTAA